AGGGGACCGGGAGGGTGGGGAGGGGGTCCCGGTCAACGAAAACCCCCCTCCCCAACCCGTGTAAACGTACCTGCGATGGTCTGCCGATGGACTCCCGCGGGAGTAGCTTGGGGGACCTCACCCCTCGTTCATCCTTCCCACCATCATCACTTCGCGTTGCATTCATCACCGGGGTATTGGTCAAACATGGCTGCACCCAAGACCCCCATTGGCATCATCTCATGTGTATTACTTCGTGCCATTCCGGTGTCTGGCCACCGGTTGGTTACAAAAATTCTTCAGTTCACCTCATGATGATGTGATGTTTGATCCAGTCGAGAGTCCGTCTCATCAGTTCCAGACAAGTCAACGTGTGTATGGTTCTGGCGTGTTGTCCCGTCACGGGGCCAGATCCCAGCAGACCCGGGCATCCGGGATTGACTGAGCTCTGCTGGCTGAGATACTCATTCATCGGGATCATCTGCAGTAGGCTTTGTGACATGAGTGAGTGCGAGCACAGACATGTCATCGGGATCATCCAAATTGCAGACGCACGGGTACCCGGACGGCACTGCTTTGTGACTTTCGTAATGCACCGTCAGCTGTGAACAGGTAGTTTGACTGAGGCTGCATCAGGTACGGACACATGTCCTCCCCGCTAATGTTGGTAAAGTGGTGTTGTTCTCCCTCTTGTTGGTGTTGGTGGATCTTCTCTGCACTCTTGTTGGTCGTTGTTCATGTGCTTGCCATGGCATGTTCCCTTCTGCTAGTGTTGGTAAAATGTTGCTGCGCTCCCTCCGGTTGTGGTGCTGATCTATCTCGCCTGTTCTCCGATTCAAGATATGTGACATGTCTTTGTCCTGTCCGCCCTCTCGGGGCATGATGCTGCTCTGTGTGATGCCGACGATGACAGGCAGACACCTCACTGCCCTTCGGGGCATGTGTGTGTGTGTGTAACTTGCTGTACATGCAGGATTGGGGTCACACCCTTCTTGGCTTTGTTTTCACTTGCAGGGGACCGGGAGGGTGGGGAGGGGGTCCCGGTCAACGAAGACCCCCCTCCCCAACCCGTGCAAACGTACCTGCTCTTGTCTGCCCATGGACTCCTGCGGGAGTAGCTTGGGGGACCTCACCATTCGTTCATCTTCCATCTCACTTCGCGTTGCATCATTCCCGGTGTCTGGTGCAACATGGGCTGCACCCATACCCCTCATTGGCATCATCTCATTTGGTATTACTTGTGCCATTCCTGGTGTCTGGCACAGGTTGGTACAAAATTCTTCATTTCACCCTCATGATGATGTGATGTTTGATCCAGTCGAGAGTCCGTCTCATCAGTTCCAGACAAGTCAACGTGTGTGTGTGTGTGTGTGTGTGTTGTGGTGTGTGTGTGTGTGTGTGTGTGTGTGTGTGTGTGTGTGTGTGTGTGTGTGTGTGTGTGTGTGTGTTGGTTGTGTGTGTGTTGGTTGTGTGTGTGTTGGTTGTGTGTGTGTTGGTTGTGTGTGTGTGTTGGTTGTGTGTGTGTGTTGGTTGTGTGTGTGTGTTGGTTGTGTGTGTGTTGGTTGTGTGTGTGTTGGTTGTGTGTGTGTGTTGGTTGTGTGTGTGTTGGTTGTGTGTGTGTTGGTTGTGTGTGTGTGTTGGTTGTGTGTGTGTGTGTGTGTTGGGTGTGTGTGTGTTGGTTGTGTGTGTGTTGGGTGTGTGTGTGTGTGTGTGTGTGTGTGTGTGTGTGTGTGTGTGTGTGTGTTGTGTGTGTGTGTTGGGTGTGTGTGTGTGTGTGTGCGTGTGTGTGTGTGTGTGTGTTGGTGTGTGTGTGTGTGTGTGTTGGTGTGTGTGTGTGTGTGTGTGTGTTGGTGTGTGTGCGTGTGTGTTGGTGTGTGTGTGTGTGTTGGTGTGTGTGTGTGTGTTGGTGTGTGTGTGTGTGTGTGTTGGTGTGTGTGTGTGTGTGTGTTGGTGTGTGTGTGTGCTTCGTACGACGACGACAAACCCATTACAAGTGCTGCTACATCCAACAACCAACACTCCAGCCACCAACCCCGAGCATTGTGACCTTGAAGCTGTCAGCATTTGGATGAAAATGCTGAAATTTGCAGCATGTGGAACCGTGGAACAGTTTTTTGAAAATGCTGTATCTCTCTCTGCCGTGCCATCCCTGAAGCACGCAGTGGCACGGAAAGTATAGATAGAAATACTGTTTGGATGCTGTGTTAACAGCAATTCGAGCTCTGGAACACACAGAAAAGCTGGCATCTAGAGCTTGCAAACCGCCAGGAATCCTGTTTTGTTGTTGGTTGTTATTGGTTGTTTGTGGGTGTTGGTTGTTGTTGGTTGTTGTTGGCTGTTGTTGGTTGGTGTTGGTTGTTGTTGGCTGTTGCTAAATGTTGTATGAAGTTAGTTGTTGTTGGTTGTTGTTGGTTGTTGGTGGTGGTAGTCGGTGGTTGTCGGTGGTGGTTATTGGTGGTGGTTGTTGGTGGTGGTTGTGGGAGGTGGTTGTTGGCTGTGGTTGTTGGTGGTGGTTGTTCATGGTATATGCTCAGATCTTTTCTGTGTCCTATTTCTTTTACTTTCACACCTTTCCTGGCCGTCGTACACTATTGGAATATGGGGTGATCATTCCAATACACTTTATTTCGATCCTATACTAGGAGGAGATCCTATTCAATCAACATTTAGATATCCAAAAGTTTACATCTTACTAATTCCTGCACTTCGGATCATTTCCATGAGAATTTCTGGGATTTTGCAATGAACAGTCTATGGTAACGGATCAATCATGTCATCCATTTCTCTTCGTGGACGTCGTGTTTGGGGGCATCATATGCATACTGTAGGATTAGAGCTTGACACAAGCGGGTGGTGGTTGTTGGTGGCGGTTGTCGGCGGTGATTGTTGGCGGTGGTTGGCGGCGGTTGTTGGTGGTGGTTGTCGGTGGGTGGGACTGGTGGGTTGTGCGTGGCTGTGATGGGTTGTGGTGGGGAATGAATACGAAACATGATATCTGTCCGAAGACATCATGGGGCCTCCCCCTCCTGCCCTGCCAAAGTGGCAGCCTTGGCCAACTCGCTTCATGTTTTGATGCTTATCTTTGGTCCGTGATGTGTTTTGATACTTTTGTGGTGTTCAGGGCCGCCGATGCATTGGTTCCCACAGCCTCCCACCGTGACGATGTCCCACTGAGCAAACACATCTGTTGTGAAACAACCAATCAAAGCCTAGCTAAGCAATCTTTCACGATTTCACGTGCAAATTGCAACCAAGTGGCATCGCGATGTTTGGTGAGCACGTTCGCAATGTAGGCAGATGATCCTTCTGACTGCTTCCGTGCGTTAAGCTTCCAAGACCCGGCGGCAATCGTGTAGCCAGTAGTCCCGCGTACCCACCACGAAACAATGAACAACACATGTCCAAGCACATTTGTAGTCGACCATGGCCGGGGGCTCAGCATGCCAATCAGCTACAACACGTCGGCAATAGTAGTGCGGAAAGTATGTACTTATTGTTTACGTCCATGTGCGTCTAATCCCATGCTAAAATCCAACGCCAATGACCACTACCGTGCCTGCTCCATGATTAATTTTGTTGGATGTTGCCTGACAACAAGACTTGCACATATACAGGGGGAGACATTTGAGTGGTACTTTGGTGCCACGAGATGTTTTTTTTTGTTATTCAACTGCGTCACTGGATGCAAGTGCCGCGGCACCAATTTCAACTGCACCGTCACATGCTTACAAACAAGCAAATATTCATCAAGCTCCGACAAAAGCTTTTTGTTGCCGTTGTAACGCCTTGCATATTGTTTCGCTGACACACACTACCTTTGACACAGTTGCAGCTGCAACAGCTGGGTATCGCACAACGGCGCATGTTCAGGTCACTTGTCGGATGGCTACGCGTTGGGAGATGGATCCTTGGAGTGAGACCATGTCCCGCATGAAATTGCAGGTGGGAGCGGCTCTCAAGCTTCGCCCTGCCGAGTTGGGGACAGCAGAGCTCGCAATGCGCCAACACAGTTTATTCCCGAAAGCATCGCGAAGGGTTCTTCCGTGCGGAGCCCTCTGACCCAAGAACATAGAGTGAAGTGCATAGAGTGAAGTGCATAGAGTGAAGTGCATAGAGTGAAGTGCATAGAGTCAAGTGCATAGAGTGAAGTGCATAGAGTCAAGTACATAGAGTGAAGTGCATAGAGTCAAGCGCATAGAGCGAAGTGCACAAAGTGAAGTGCAGAGAGTGAAGTGCATAGTGTGAAGTGCATAGTGTGAAGTGCATAGAGTGAATTGCATAGAGTGAATTGCATAGTGAAGGGCATAGAGTGAATTGCATAGAACTGACATAGAGTGAAGTGCATAGAGTGAAGTGCATAGAGTGAAGTGCATAAAGTGAAGTGCATAGACTGAAGTGCAAAGTGCATAGTGTGAAGTGCATAGAGTGAATTGCATAGAGTGAGTTGCATAGTGAAGGGCATAGAGTGAATTGCATAGAGTGAATTGCATAGAGTTTAGTACAAGTTAATTGAAATTTCGATTACGAGATTTACATAGAATTTATAGTAGACCTTCGTACCCAGTCCTAGATTTCTTAATTAAAATTATTGAACTTACTCTTTCTAAGGCGGCGGGCTGGGTTGACATCGCCAATCGGGATTGCAACCCTCCGCGGGCTTCGGCGTGGTCGCGGTGCTAAAACCATCGTTTTTTTTACGTTTCTTTCTGACCGCGGACAACCCTCTGCGGGTTTCGGCGTTGTCGCGGTGCCAAAACCGTCGTTTTTTTTACGTTTCTTGATTTGCGCGGACAACCCTCTGCGGGAAATCGCCGGGTCGGCGCTAAAACCGTCCTGTTTGGTTATTTTTTTCGTGAGCGCAGACAACCCTCTGCGGGTTTCGGCGTTGGCGCAGTGCCAAAACCGTCGCGTTTTTCCGTTTTTTGACATAGAAACGTAACCCCTCTGTGGGTTTCGCGTGGTCGCGGTGCCAAAACCGTCGTGTTTTTGCGTTTTCTTTGTGACCGAAAACGTCCTTTGTAGTACAAAAGTCGTACTTCCGTGCAGGGCCGGTGTGCTCTTTTGGGCTGTGAAAAAACTCCTCCGTAGTACTCCGACCGTGGCTGGAAAGTCGACTTTTGTAATACAGACCTAGTACGCCGGGAAAATTTCGTGGCCGGAAAGCCGACTTTTGTAGTACAGATGTAGTACGCTGCAGACACCCGAAACTTCCGTGGCTGGAAAGTCGACTTTTGTAGTACAAAGGTAGTACGCCGCGGACGCCCGGAGCTTCAGTGGCCGGAAAGTCGACCTTTTGTAGTACAGATGTGACTCGAATTCCGGGGCCTCGAAAACCTCGCAAATATCGTGCGACTCGAATTCCGGGATGTCGAAACCATCGCAAATATCGTGGGCCTCGAATTCCGGGGCCTCGAAAACCTCGCAAATATCGTGCGACTCGAATTCCGGGATGTCGAAACCATCGCAAATATCGTGGGACTCGAATTCCTCGAAAGCCTCGCAAATATCGTGGGACTTGAATTCCGGGGCCTCGAAACCTCGCAAGTATCGTGGGACTCGAATTCCGGGATGCCGAAGCCATCGCACATATCGTGGGACTCGAATTCCTCGAAGACCTCGCAAATTTCGTGGGGCTCGAATTCCGGGGCCTCGAAAACCTCGCAAGTATCGTGGGAGTTGAATTCCGGGGTGTCGAAACCATCGCAAATATCGTGGGACTCGAATTCCTCGCAAATATCGTGGGACTCGAGTTCCGGGGCCTTGACAACCTCGCAAATATCCTCGCATTCCGGGATGTCGAAACCATCGCAAATATCGTGGGACTCGAATTTCTCGAAAACCTCGCAAATATCGTGGGACTCGAATTCGTCCGGGGTGTCGAAAACCTCGCAATTTTGTTGTCGAAACCTTCTAGTTTCCAAAGACAGGAGTACGCCAGCCCAAGACATGCTTAGATTCCTGCCTGCAGCACGAAGGCGTATGTGCCGTCAGACCGGATGCTCTACATGCGTGCATGCTGAGTTCTTGCTTCCTGAAAGGTGCTCTGGACTACGAGCTTGGACTTCAGAGCGACTGCCGATGATGCTCATGGCTGATGGCTTTCGCGTTAGATGTTTTGGTCTTTTCTTTCATAGCTTCGCGTGGATTGGACGTGCACAGCCGAGTCGGGTGCACGCAAGTGAAGTTCATACAGTTCAAGTCCGTTTACTTCAGATGTATTGAACGCCCATGACGTTTATAGAGTTGACCACAAGTGCATGGCATTCAACTCAACACACACGAATGCCATGCAGTTCAAGTGCATGCACGTCCACTATACAAGTGCAGCATACAAAGTGAGTATGCAACATTATGCAACCATATATGTACATCCACTTGTCCAAGTGCATACAGTCCGAGTGCAAAAAGTTTTGTGTTTTTTTTCGCACCTTTTTCCGCCAGCTGGAAGGAGTCCCTTCGCTACGGCCGCAGGGGCAGGCGACTGTGGCCCTCAGGGGCAGCGTGGTGGATGACGCTGTCGAGCGGCGGGCCTTCGCCAGCCTCAGGTTGCAGCGGCTGCCGCCAGGCACCTCCAAGAGCCGTACTGGCGACTGCCTGCTGCACCGCGACCGAAAGCATGCTCCACCAGCGCCTCGCCCAAGCTGCTGTCGCTGCCGCGCGCACGGGGAGGGGGCGCGGTACGCCTTGAGACGCACCAGGTCTCGCACGAAGCCTCGGGCCTGAGCGTTCCAGCGGCCGCCCACCTCGGAGCCGAGCACGACGAGCGTTTGCGGCCCCCCCCGCGTGAGCTCCGGGTACGCGGCGTGCTTGTGGCGCTCAGCCACCCGCAGCACGGCTCCGTCCACGGCCGCTGCGCACGGCTGCGGGTGCCCCGATCGCGTGAACGGGGAAACCAGCGTGGCGTCGCAGCACTGCGCCCCCCCGCTGCGCAGCGCCCCGTACACGACGAGGTCGAGTCTGCGACGGTCCTGCGCTCCGACCTGCGGGGCGGTGGTGTTGGCCAGCCACTGCTGCGGAACGACTTGACCTTCCGACCCCACCGCTTCCCGGGCGACCTGCACCCAGGCTCGCTCCACGATCTTGGCCCGCCTGGCGAGGAGTCCAGTGCGCGGGCACGCAAGTGCGTGGTCGCCGAAGCGGTCTACTGCGCCACGGCAGCCATGGGGCGGCCCGCAGGTGTTGCTGTGCAAAGGCAGAGGTTGTCGCAGGCGGCGCCTCAAAGCGATCTGCATCGCCATCGGTGGGAGCGTGGTGGCCGGCTCTGTGGGGATCGCAGCGAGCCATGCTCCTGCCTGCGGTCCTGCCTGGGATCGCAAAAGTGCCTGGGAACTGGGTGGCATGTCTGGCAGAAGCGTGCGTTCGCGGAAGTGCGTGTTGAGGGTTCGCGTCGCGCGCATCTGCCATCCATGCGGCCAGTCTCCGGGCCCTGCGTAGTCGGCTGGGGGCGGGCGCACCCCGTCCAACAAGGCGCTCCACGTGGGGCATGTCTGCCAGCCTGCCCTCACGCAACAGCGCCCCTGCTTCTACCGCCTCGCGCAGACACGGGGCGTTTCGGCCCGCTCCCCCTTCCAGGGCCTCCCGGCACCGGCCTGCCAAATCGGGAGCACGAGCTCGCATGACCGGCAGCGCGTCTGCCCACGCAGCCCAGTACGCGGCCGGGGCTGTGCGTTGCGCGGATTGGAGGCCGAGTCCGCCGCGCACTGCTGGCAGCGTGGCTATGGGCCACGCGTGGGGCGCGTCGTCAAGGGGCTCTCCTCCAAGGCAAGCCTGCAGCGTTTCCCAGATGGCTGCATCGTGCGCAGCGGCGTACCCTCGTGACTCGGACGGGGGCAGCGTGCGGAGCGCATGGTTGGCACGAGTGGAGGCACACATGGAAAGGAGGAGCCAACTGCACTGCATTCCTCCTGCATGCGCTCCGCCGCCCATGCTCGCACGAACTCGGGGTGTCCGATGGGAGTACCCAGGACCACCAGGCCTCTCTCAGGCGGTGGCTTGTCCCCTCGCCACACCGCGGCCCCCAGCTCGGAGATGCCGGGCGGCGGGAGGGTCTCTCCCAGCGTGAACGCCCTGGTTTTGCCGAGGTTGGAAGCGATGCCACAGTGGGTCTCGACTGTTGTCGTCGTGCTGTCCAGGGCCGCCCGCGCAAGCTCTGGGACTGTGACGACATAGAGGTCGTCCAGGAAGGCTAGCAAGGCATCGTCGCGGTGCAGCTTGGCGGCTTGGCAGAGCGCCTCGTGTTGCCCCAGCACGAACAGCGCCGGAGCAAGGGGATCGCCCTGCTCGCAGCCTTCGCCTTGCGGCACGGTCCGGCACGCCCCCGTGGCGTCCGGCCATAAAAGAGCCGCACGAAGGGGAGGAGCTCCGGCGCAACCTCGCGTAGCTTGCTGAGGAAGGCTACGCGGGACATGGAGTCATATGCGCTCCGACCGTCCAGCGACACGA